ATAAGATCCAAAGTCGGAATATGATTCTGACACAAAAGAAAGGAAGCATAACTCCACTCAGTGGTATACGATCTCATCTTAAATCTACTAGGCCTTTACGACAGAGCTTGTCTATAAACACCGTGGTCCCAATTATACTTCTAGATAATTCTTTCCCGAACACCGGCTATTTATCAAATTCATACTATCTATACTGTAAATAGTTCGCACATGAACCACTCCCAGCCACTAATCCTCAAATCTAGTATACGCTTCCCACCACTCAAGGCCAACTGCACTCACGTAAGTTAATAGAATTCTCGTGCAAATTTCCATATGAGATCGGTTAACTCAGTAGATTCTAAGGTTCATTCTGGCAGAGATACGTTATAGTATCCTGCCCATGGATTTCCTGCAGAAAATCAGCCAACTAACGACATTAATCAGCCTCCCTGCCCTTCATTTATAAATTTTTAAATAAATTTTTTTATTAAATGCCAGTTTACAGGCATTGTCAAGGGAAGCGATAAAACACAAATCTGACCAGCAGTGAAAAAAAACTCCTGAGCTTAAGAGATAAAAATATAGTTGATGGTGGTTTTGTGGTTTGGAGGGCTCAGGAGAAAAAACTGCCGGCGGTGGGAGAATATCGACCGTCAAGAAGGGGGGAGGTTGCACGGTATCGGAGATTATCGGACGTCAAATTCCTTTCATAAAGTTGGGGATAGTCAAAGTAGAGGCGTTGAGGAACAGCTGGTGAGACCGGCCATAGTGTTCAGAGACCACAAACGCCATCGCTACGGTACAGTCGATCAGTAGATTCAGCACCCAAAATTTGTGGGAGCTTTTCTGAATGCAAAAATCGAGTAATAGTTCTCTTAAATAAAAGAAAATTTTGCAGAGTTTTCACACTCATGGGTAGTTTATTCCAAATAGCAATTGCATTTACAGAAAAGAACCGACGATATTTAACAGTACGTGCCAGAGGCAGAAATAAGAAGACCTCACGGTGACTGTTACGTCGTGGGTGGATATGATGTCTTAAAGTGGTGAGTGGGTTAAATGTGTGATTATATAAGCGTTTAAATCATACTTCTTTTTATCCATATCAGGGTCTTCTGATGTCACGTTTTTTTCCGAACCGGACAGATGAATATGGACCATGTGTTCCGTGGGCAGCCAACCAATAGATAACGTAGCCCACCTCCCTCAGAAACAAGCAGTCTTTCTTTCGCTCTAAATGCCAGATCCTTGCTGAATAAGATGCCTTTGCTTCAGGCTCTGGTGTTCATCCATTGTCCATATACTGTCTTAGTAACGCAGGCATAGGCATCAGCCTTCGTAGATGACCCTTACATCTCTCTTCTAGGCTATACTTGCACTCGTAATGATGGTCAAGAGAGCCGTCGTGGGGGCAGCTACATATTCGCTAAGCAAACACTTGCATTTCTGTCGCTGGACCACCCGCATTTTTTCGCGGGCAGAAGGCAGCTGCTGGCCCAAAGTTGCTTTAAAATAAGTTCTCACTATTCGTCGGCCGTATCTATCCCCCACCCAACGCCAGGGAGGGGTTTGAACGTTGCCTTTTGCAGGTGTTTCATGCTGCGCCCGAATAAAATTATCAGTATCAATTAGTTGCGGGTGACTTTAATCTTACTGAAAGCCGCTGGTCTCCGCTGTTCGGCCCCAGAAGGTTCGAAGACATACTTGAGCCAGCTGATATCGGCATGTCGAGTCAGATTGGCGATTTTCTCACCCGAAGATAAGATAGATAGATAGATAGATAATTTTTATTAAAGACCCGTCGGGGTCCCATCAAAGCAAGTTAAAATAAATTTGCATGCGAGTTTTAGACGAGGTAGGCTGAATCTTTACAAAATGCAATTCATAGTTTCTGAATTAGAAGTCCATTGAGAAACATGAAGATTGAGGGGTGAAAAAAAAACTCCTCGGGAAAAGTTAAAAATGATTGGATTAATTTTACAGGAGAAAAAACCCCTCTTTAAAAATAATAACAGAAAAAAAGCGAGCAGGACTGGCCTGTAGGTGGCGGTATATAACGGAATGTTTTCGGTCAT